TTTTTCCCGTCGGCTCTCGTGGGCAGGGCTTCTGGATGGGCTGGTGGGGATACTTTTTTGTTCGCGAGCGCGCAGGAATGCCAGGCGCCGTCAAGAAACGCGGCTAACAAGAAACGGCCTACATTCCACACAAGAGCGCAAAGGAGCGAGCTACGCTGCGGCTTGAACTGGTGGGGATATTTGTTTGGTCAGCGGCCGCGGGCGAGCGCGCCGGCGGCGGGTCCAGTCAAAGCGGGGCACGCAGCGACGAATTAAACTAAAGCGGCGGAGGGCGGCCACACCTAGAGCGGCTAACCGAGGCCTCACGCAGCAACTCAGCGGCGGACCGGCGAGTGGAGGGGGCAGCTGAAACTGAGTCGGACTGCCAGCGTGCAGGTATGCATGGCGTCGGAAGCACCAGGAAATCGGGACAAACGACGACCAGGGTCAGAAGACGAGGGATTAATGCATGGGCGCGAACCTCGGACAACTGCGAGATTACCAGGGTGGGCTGATGGGGATATATTTTTTTGGTCGCGGCCGCCAGCGAAGAGGCAGGCGGCGAACAGGGTGTCCGGGCCGACGAGCAAGCCTAATTAGCTACAAGACGCGCCGCTAGCCGGGCGGCCCACTCACAAAGCAGCCGCGGGGCTGCGGGGAAGCTGACGGCAAAGGGGCAACCTGGGAAGTTCGGGCACGTGCAGTGGACAAAATGTCGAGGAATTCGATGCCTGCCGTGAAGAATGACCCACACATCGACATGACGTGTACCGGGGCAAACGTGTCCGTCATACTGAGTGGGGGCAGGCGCGAAGCTCGCTGGTGGGGATAGTTGTTGGTCGGCGGCTCCAAGGCAACGGTCAAGGAGCGAAAGCGGCGTCCGGGAGGCGGAACGGGGCGAATTTGCAAACAAAACCGCCAGCGTCGGCGGGCAAGCTCGCACCTGCAAGACAAACTCGCAGTTGCACATGCACAGAACAAAATGAACTAAATTCACAAGCAAACGCACATAGGCGCAGCAGCGTGAAACCGAAGTAAACGGGCTGCCGAGAAAAATGTAGCGTGAAGAATTTCGCTATGTCGCTGCTTTCGGCCTCCGGGGGCCGCTGCCGGGCCTCGGGACCGTCAAAAACGACTCGGGACGAGAAACCCGTCCCAGGGAATGGGTCGAGACCTCTGGGGGTCGACGTTGTGAACAAATCAAGACGTCATGGGGTCTGGGGAGGAGGGAGGATGAGCAGGAATATAAGATGAAGCCAGGACGAGGATAACATCGGGTAAGGAGGAATCGAGAATCTTTGAGGTCGAGCGGCTCTGGAGGATGTCTCGGGCGGCGCCGCGGCCTTCTCAGATCGTTCTGGAACTCTCTGAGAGCGTTCCAGAACTCTCGGGAACGGATGTATCCTCGTCCTAGCCCCATCCGAAGTCAGACCGTATAGGAAGGATGCGCAGTAAGGATATCAGGGCCCTGGAAGGCCATGTTGACGTTCTTCGAACGGGGCTGGCCAGCGAAAGGTGCCATGGATGGGCCGAAGGGGCAAGGATGCAGGGGTAATCTAGGAGAGGCGAACCCCCCTCTCTGGAGATTGAAGACTTCCCCGCAGGGGCCCTGTCCCTTCGGAGAGACCTTCTCCAAAGGCTTCCTGGGCGGCAGGCGGACTTCTGGGAGGCGGGAGGGGCCCTTCGATCTGTGCGCCGCCAGGCTCCTCCTTGAGCTTCTGGCACACCCGCTTCCGAGCCACGTCCGTGGCGCTCGGCTTCTTTTTCTTCTTCTTCCTGCGGGCAGGGGGGGTGAAGGGCGCTGACGATGACTGGACTCTGCCGCCTGCTGGGCGGACGCACGAGAGAATGACGACGGAGACGGTGAGCCCCTAGGGGTGCAGGGTGCAGGGTGCGCCAAGTGACGACGATGAGAACGGCGGTGGTGCTGACGATGGTGTTCTTTGGTCCGTCGCGCGTGCACGCGGCCGACCTCTAACTCACGAAGGCCTCTCGGAGCTTGCCCCTCTGGCGTCTGGCTGAGAACCCAGACTCCCGACGTCACGGTTGTCTCCAAGCGTCGACCCCCAGAGGTGTCGACCCATGTTCCCAGGGCCGGCTTGTCGTCCCGAGTCGTTCTTGGACGGCCCCAGGGCCCGGCGAGGGCCCCCAGAGGCCGCCGCCATGACTGATCCACGGCGCCAGAGGGCTCTGGGCAGCGCAGGCGACGGCTCCACCCCGCACCCAGCGCTGAGCGGGGGCGGCAGCGGAGCGCGGGCTGGCGCGGCCCACGCCAAGCGCCGCCTCCGGGGCGCGACCCCGCGCCCGCGCCGCGCCGCGCGGCGCCGCCCTGCGGCCCTGCGCCTCCCGGCCGGCCCCTCTCCGCCGAGCGCGACTGGGGCAACAAGAACAGGCGCTCGACCTTCGATCCATGCCCCGTTCGGTGGTTCAAAGACGGGGTCCTGAGGGATGGGATCCTCCCAGGACAGGAAGGATCCAAGTGTGGTCCAACGTTGCTTGAGGCACCTCGCCCTCAGGACCCCACCGCTCAGGACCCCATCTTCGAACCACCGATTCAGGGCCTCTGCTAACGACCCGACCCCACGAAGGGCCAGAGCGAGGATATGGTCAAAATCCTGGCATTCGGGGCCACGCTGTTTTGTCCATGCCCTGCTGCACCTGGCGCCCAGAGTGGGGATCTGGCCGCAGGGGTATGGATCGAATGTCGATCGCCGGAAGAAGGGATCTGGCCGCACGCCGGAGCGACCCGAGGCCTCAGGAGTGGCTTCGAGGTGCGCGGCTTGCCGATCGCTTCACGCGGCGCGACAGCGGCTAGTAGACGGGGACAACATCGGACAGGGGCAAATCGGACATCTCTAAGACCGGGCGGCTCTCACGATGCACCGGGCGCCGCGCACTTCTCAGAGCGCTCCGAAACGCCTCGAGAGCGCTGCAGAACGCTCCGGATACATCCTTGCAGCCCCGCTGGAGTGGCGGCCCCCTGAGATCCGACGTCCCAAAACACAAATGCCACATCTCTGAAGATCACGGCAAAGGAGCCCCAGACCCAGTCTCTCTGCGGCGTTTTCCGAGCAGCATCGCTCTGTGACTGCCCGGGAGGCCGAAGTCGGGCGAAGCAACATTCGAGCATCATCGATCTGTGATTGTCCGGGGGCTCGAGATCGGGCGAAACTGCCCAGCGTGAACAGCCCTGCAACGCGCCCGGATCTTCGAGTAGGGGATCCACCACAGCATTGGTTTCCCCAGAAATTGATTTCCTCGTCGAATCCGCGGGAAATAAGTGGAACGATCCGTGAGCAGTCGAACCATTTGTTCCGGGAAAAATCGATTCTGGGGTAAACTGATCCTGCAGTCGATCCCCCTACTCGAGAAACGAGGGCCCGCGCGCCTGGGCCTGGCCCTCCCGCGCCCGCCGGAGGCAGGCGCACGCCGCGCGTCGCCGCGGCGAGGGACCGCTGCCGCACGCAGCTCGGAAGACACCACGGCCGCTGCCCCGCCCTCGGTCAGGAGGCCGCATGCGAGCCCTACGGCAGGTTCGTGTCGTGTCGACCTGGGCGTTGGTTCCTGGCACCGCGGGGATGGTTCAGCCTTGAACAATCGGCCGTTTCCGAAACGTCCCATCGCTCGACATCGACCGATTCTGGGTCGCAGGAGGCGTTCAACTTTGAACGCCGGCGGCGGGGTCGCCGCCGGTCGACACCACGCGAGCATGCCACCACCCCACGATTTCTAAGGGGGGATGTGGGGTTGACTTTCGTTCGGGACCTCCCGAGCGAAGTGAACCCCACCTCCCCCCCAAAAAAAATCGTGGGTTGGTGAGGTAGGGTTCGCATGTGGCCGCCGATCGGTTATGCAGCGTGGGCAGCGAACCCGACGACGCCGACGGCCGACGCCGACGCGGCGCCCGACGGTACCCCGCCCGACGGCGCCCCGCACCGGAGTCGGCCGCCACGGCATCGAGCGCCAGCGGGCGGGCTGAGCCGCTCGCCCTGCCGCGCTCGCCCCCCATCCAGGTTGGGACTCCGAGGCGAGATCCAATCGCGGCGACGAGAAGCCCACGCCGGATACCCACAAACCGCCCTGCCGCAGGTGCGTGTCGTGACGTCCCTGGCGTGGGCTTTCGACGCGGCGCTGATGGCTCCACCTCGAACGATCGGCGGCCAGATCGTTCCAGGCCGACTCTGAGCCACACGCCGCCTTCGGCCTGGAACGCCCGCCCTGGGATCGTAGCCGCGTGGGCGCTGCGGGAACTGGCCGCAGGCAAGGAACGGGCGTCGGTGCGCAGCTTCCGGGGGCACCGGGGTGGGGGTGGCACCTCAAGCGCGCGGACCAGAGTTGGGGGGGCGGGGCGCCTGCGGGCCCCCACGGGGTGACGCTAGACAGTCACCGAGTTTTCTTTTGACGGTCGCGGAATGATGGGCCTGCTCCCCACCGCCACCACCATAAGTTGGAGGGGGAGGGGGTCCTCTTCACTCCTCATGATCCTCCTCGCACGAGGCCGCAGGCGGACACGTCCAAGATCACAGCCGATCGAGCGCCCACCGAGACGTGGGAACTAGATCCCTGACCTTGTCGGCAGGAATAGGGCGGCAGCGCTCAGAGTGGATGTGAGAGAAGAGAATGGTGGCACCGGCAGAAGCGCGCGAGGACGAACGAGAGGGGAGGGCGAGACCGAGACGGCCAAGAGAAGAGGTGGAACAGAAAACGTGGACATCCAGATCGAGCATGGTTGCTAGATGTCGTGCAAAAGCGAGGGTACTGCCAATAATGAACAGTGTCACCAAGCCCATCAGGACAGCCAAGCATGCACGGCATATGTTCTTGAAACCTCTTGTCGGTGGCCCATCTACCAATCAACATGTCTACGACGGCCATGGGAAAAGAAACCGACGACCTCGAACCCACAGCACGAACCTCGCCCCGCGGAAGAAGGCGGGCCTCTCCAAGCGAGATGGGCATCCATTGCGCCAACCGAGAGGCGAACACCTCCGCCAGACAGGGGGGATTTAAAGTCTCTGAAATTTTGAGCTCGAGCAAACGTTGAACTTTGAATTTCGCAGGCTCGGGCGTTTCGGCGAGAGCCGCGTCGAGAGAAGCGATGGCAACATGAGCGGCGTCAGAGATGCGAAAGTGGGAGAGGTGGGAAGGCGCCAACAGGAGAGAGCCGAGCGGCCGCGGGAAGGCAGCGTCAGCGGCGGCAAGAACTGACAGGAGGCAGGGGGGCGCCAGACAGAAGGGGACAAAGAGCGAGAATGGATGCGATACACCATGGGCAAAGAATCCTCTGCCGCAGATTGCAGAAGAGGCATGACTTCTCGCCGTGAGAACAAGGGCAATCTACTAGCACGAATGATTGCTGCAATTGCGGTCGCATGGGCGCCGGTGACCTTTGGACCTCCCCAAGAAGCCAAGTCAAACCAGCCGGCGCGCGGGGGCGCGCAGCTGGGGCCCTGAATAATTCCGCAAACGGCGCTGGCTCTTGACGGGCAAAATCCAGCGGCAAAGGGAGAAAATGCGCCACACACAAAAGAACAGAGGCAACTCGACTTTCATAGTTGACCGCCGTCGCCGAAAACGGAGCTCCCTGACCAGCAAGGTCCGAGCCGCGATCCTGCAGTTTGGCGACGGGGGCTCTCGGGGAGTGGAGACCGGCCGCAGGGCCAAGCCATGGCCTGAGGCATTAAAGAACGTCAACTGCAGCAAAGGAGGCCCGCTCACTCAGATGTTGGGAGACCCACCTCGAGTACCTGCGGGCGCGCATGTCCGAGCACCCCTCCGCCAGCGGCAAGATTTTGCACTTGGGCGGCTTCAGCTGAAGCGCGGCGACCCGCGCAATAGCGCGGAAGATGCGGTAGAGGATGCTCAAATTATCAAGTTTGCGAAGAACGGCTCCACTGCCATCGGCGCACGCACGAGCAATGCAAGCATTTTCACGTCGCAGCGAGTGATCGATATCCCTCAAGAAGCAATCCGCTGCGAAGAGGAATCCCCGAGGCGGGGCATCCTTGAACTATGCCCCGGGACTGGGAGAACAAGAAAACCTGAGTGGGCATTAAGGCGCCATAGCACAGCGCGGTCGTATAGATCGTTAGCACCAGCATCTTGAGAGGCTCGGGAAGAAGCGCCGCACCCAGTACGCGGCGAAGCCACGCATGACCAAGACTGGGAAAGGCCTGGCCGGAGTCGAAAAGGACAGGGGCTGGCAAGTGGATCAGAGCCGACGTCGACATCGAATAGATACAAGCGATCGCGCCGATCTCGACAACGTGTTGCCCCCGAAATTGCGGGCACGAATGAACCCTCTCTGAGCGTTGGTCGACGTCTCAGGCATGACTCGAATCAACGACAAGAACGACACGGCCGTGCTGATTCTGTTATCGGTACTTTTTCAGCCCGAGGGGCCGAATGCCACTCGCGTCGCGCATGCATGTGTCGGCGCCATTCACCTCCCCCCTTCCTCCGGCATGAATATCATGAGCGCGCCGTTGCACGACCAATGCACGGGGCCCACATGCGAGGATCCAGCAGAAGCCTCGAAGAGCACTTCGCGCGCGCGAGGTCAACACTTAAGAACGCCATGAGGCAGGGCATTGGGGCCAGGAGGGGAATCAGAAACACAAGCTAGCAGCGCATCTAGCCAGATCGCGAAAACGAGGAGGAGGGGGGGCCCGATAATCACATTGCGAACACAAGCTGTCAAGATATAGTTGCCCGTGAACTGGTTTCGCTGAAAAGACCCCTCCCCGACGACTGGCAACCTCATTTTGCGCGTCGGTCTGCGCGGTGAGCACGCGGCCCCCTGTTCTGACCCCAAAGAGCTGGGGGCGCCTATCACGCGGGGCCCGCGGGCGACTGCGGCGAACCAGATGACGCAGTCTCTGGCGAACCTTCCTTCGCTTGGATTCCGACTTCGCGGCCGCGTGCTGGGCCTGCGCCCCGCGCTGCTGCATCTCGGCGCCCTGGCATTGAAGTGCGCCCAGCAGATCAGAAAACTTCCGGGGGGCCCCTCAGGGAGGCCCGAGGCGGGGGGCCCAGGGGGTCAACGTCCACGAACTCTTGGGCGGTGGGGCATTGGAGGAGTCGGCGAGCCAGAATCGCATCGCTCCTCCAAACAGCGCGGCTGATAGACCGCACAATCATCATTTTGCCCAAAAGATCCGTCGGGCTCTCCCGGAAAAGGGCGTTTCTGGATTGACGAGGTCCGTCTTTCAAAATCTTTTCATGGAACGTCTGTTCCTGGGGCGGGCCACGCCCAGGGACGTCGCGCCGGCCCCAGCCGGACAAACTCCTTGAACTTCGAAGGCTGGGAAAACTGATTGGCGAGGAGCCTATTATCTTCAGCAGGGTGGGGGGGGCGCGATGCCGAGGATGAACCGGGTGATATGATATATTTTCCAGAGGTTCAAGCATCTCGACGAGTCGGGCTTCCACCTGGAGACACGTGAGGCAATGCCCTGGGGGACTCGTAGAAATCCGATTCATCTTTGAGGCGTTGTCCTTGACTCCGTCGCAATGGTGAGGCTCGATGCTGTCGACCTACACTGACGCGAATAAGGCTTCCTGCCCAACTGAAGCACGCCGCCGCCTCCAATCCGGAAGCGCAGCGGCAGGTCGCAGATGATCGGGCGGCGCGCGCTGCTGGGGGGCCCCGAACAGAGGTTAAAATCGCCAGCGAGCACGAGGATATACCGATCTTGGGCCTGTCGAGCGAATGCGAGCTCCTGCTCTAGGTGGGTCGATAGCCCTCGTCGTCATCTCAGTCGTCAAACCATGATTGCGCATGTTGAAGAGGGTGATGGAGCGCGGGGAGCCTGGATTCGAATCGGACGAAATAGGTCCCAAGTCTAGCTCTAGCAGACAGTGCAGGACTCTCCCAGAGACCACAATTTCGGATTCGCACTGCGCGAGCGGATGGAATCCATTCTCGAGAGTAGGACATATAGTGGCAACTCCTCCTCGCGCTTTCGTGAAGGACGCCTGCCCAAAGAAAATGCGACGGGAGAAGCCGAGGAAGTCGGAGAGGTCGTAGATACTACAATGAGTCTCTTGCAACGCAATGATAGAGCTGGCCTTTCGGATGTTGGTTAAGTCGGAGAGCTTGGAAGAGCGGGTGGGATGGTCATGATGACAAAAGAGCTCGAGCGTTCCAAGTGCATGGCGTCAAACACCTGGCCTCCAGCGGCGTTCCTCCAAGAACGCGAAAGAGATTGCTGAAGGCTCCACGTAGCATTGTCCGATAACTCCTGAAAGCGCCACGAAGCTTCTGCTCAACCTGGTTATTGTCGATGCCGGGCGCACGCCGATTGGCACTCTCCCACTCCATGGTCGGGAGCGAGTTGTCACGCTTCGGCGTGAGCTTCATGAACGGCTTCCACTGCGACGACACCACACCGGTGTGGTGGTCCACGAAGAAGCGGAGCGACAGGTACGACTCCACCAATATGTTGCGCCGCGTCTTGGTCGCAATCTCCTGATTGATCTGCTTAGGGTTCCTACCCAAGGACATTAAGAGCTCGGTCGGCAGGTTATTGCCGTTGGCCTGCACGTTGAAGCGGCGATATGATCCATCAGCATTGCGAAGAGCCCCAAGGGCCTGACAGACACGACGTGCTGCCCAACAAGGCGCGCCTTTGCACTTGACGACGTATCGTTTAGCAGCAAGTTCACCTTGAACTTGCCAAAATTCATTTTCCCAGCTGGCGTCCGCAAGCCAACCAAAGACAGCGGTAACCACTCGATTTTGTGGCACCACGTGGGGGCACCTGACGATGATGAGCGTGGGGCCACCTCGCGATCGAACTCACGGTTGGCGGTGGTCTCGACGGCGCAGGTGTCAGTCTCCGAGGCGACGGTGTGGAAGCGTGCCTTGAGCGTTTCCAGTTCGTCCGTGAGCCGCAGGATGGTCGAGTCCGTGTTGTCCATGCGGTGCTCCAATTTGGCGAAGCGGTCCTGGATGGGCTGATCGATGGACAGGTAGTGGTCGTTTACGGTTTTGTTGAGCTTAGAGAAGGCCTCCTGCATGCACGCCATGGCCTGGCACATCTCAGACATGGTGGCGTCCACATGCTTCCGAATATCATCAGCATCAGAATGAGTAATGGGCCGCTGCGGCGACCGCGACCGAGGAGTGACCACTCATTTGTCAGGCAAGACCTCTCTTGCCTGTCTGCTGCAAAGTGTAAAGTGAGGGAGAAAAATAAGGAAAGAGATGTCCGCCTCTGCTTGCACAGAGGTATGCTCACTGGTGTGGGCTGCCCGCTCATGCCAAAAATGGCTAGAGCCAAAATGGCAACGGCCCTCCTCCTCCTCCTCCTCCTCCTCCTCCTCCTTCCCCTTCCCCCTCCAACTTCTGGTGGTGGTGATGAAAGACAGGCCCATCACAGAACCCAGTGAGGGCCACCAGAGGCCGCAAACTGCCCAACAACTTTCCGGCGCGACTTTTCCGCGGCGCGAACGTTGCCTGGGACTACGCGTGGCCGACAGACTCCAGCCGGCCTCGAGGGGCGAAGGCGAGGGAAGGGCACCTGGACGCCTTCTACAAAGGGGTCCGAGTTCGGCGCCGTCGGCAGGGCGAACATCAGGCCCCACATCGAGTTGCATCGCCGATGCGCCAGCCGACCCCGCCCCATTATTCTGGCTCCATCTGGGAAGCCTGCTAGAGCACCTGAGCATCGTGGAACCGATCACTGTACCCGTTGGCGTGGCACGAGCCCCACTGCCCGATTTTCTCATCTACATTGGAATACAGGCTGTTCGAGGGGACTATATAACCGCTTGCCCCGGATAGAGAATCATATCCCCCCACACCCCCTCGTGCCCCCGATGAAAAAAAACAAAAAACGCTGCCGCGGGGGAGGATGACGAATCGACGAAGTTGCTATCTTCTTATGCTGAGAAACAACATCATCACGAACGTGTGGCAGGGCTATGGTATTCTCAACGTTTTAGCTTTCCCCAGCCACGCAGGTGCGGCAAGGACACATGAGACTCTCACAACTCCAACTTTCCCGAGTCCCGTTATCCCCAACTGGGGTTGTGGGATGGTGGGGATCGGGATGGGGGATGGGGACGGGGATGGGGATAGGCATCGGCCCAAAGATACGATTCTGAAGCACCAGCGTTGGCACGGCCCCCTTCTCCTCTGGCTGGGGCGGCTCAGACCAGCGCCCCGGGGCAGCAGCAGGCCGTCAGCCTGGTGCCGGCTGGCCTGACCGAGGCCCTCGCGGCGCGCCGGCTGGCGATAGGGGGGCTGGATCGGAGGAGGGCCAGTCGTCATCAGCGGCGGTCTGACTCCCCAAACATCTCAGCGCTCGGGAACAGCAACAAGACTCGCGTTGTTGTCCTCGCATTCGGCATCCGGGGGCCTTCCCCCTGCCCCGAGGCCGTCAACAAACGACCCAGGCTCAGGGCTTTCTTGAGGCGTCGGTGGCTCTCCCACCCACCCCAAACCCACCCAAGACTGGCCCCCGGACCCCTCCCCGGGGCCATCCTGTCTCGTTTCTCTGGGCGGGTCCAGCCGTGGCAACGAAATCCTCCAGGAGAAGGGCCTATTGTGGACGGCGGCGGTTCTCCCGCCAGGCCCCAAGGCCAAACCTCTCCTGAGGCCCAGCGTGGCGTATCTTTCAAGGTGGACGCCCCTGGGAACCGATGGCGCGGAATCCCAGACCCAATCTCTCGATGGCATTTCCCGAGCCAAGGCTGTCCGTGAGGGACCTGGGGCCCGAAAACGGCGTCCGGATGGGCACTCCGTGGTAAGAGCAACTGACGGCGTCCGGATCCGCTCTTGGTGACTCCGGGGGCCTGACAATGGGCCTCAGGTCTTGATATGTCCCATGCGCGGTCCCCCGATGCCCCGACCCTTTCCCTATCGTTACGACGCCACCATGTCTGGGCACATCGTCGGAAATCTGAAGCGGGCACCTCAGCTCGCTTTGCGATCTCTCTACGTCCTGGTGGGCATTGTACTGCCACGCTCCTTTTTTGTGTCGCGATACCTCCGGGGTGTCTTGCGCACGGGTCTCCGTGTTCGTCGCGCCGCTCTAGTTTCTGTTGACCCTGGTCGTCATTGCTTCGACGATCTGGTGATGAGAACCCATTCACGTGGGTTTTTATTCATCGCCCAGTTCTTGTTGGGACGTCATATGCGAAAACTTCACCTAGATAAGATCTTACTGTCCTTGTCTTACCCTGGTTTGTGTTCCCTGCCGCGTCGTGATCAATGGTTCTCAGGCTTCGCGTTCCGGCCCATCAAGGACTGCATCTTCTGAGCGGGGTCTCCTTTCGCCCCGGGCCCCCTCCAACTCCCGCCGCATCTGCTTTAGTGCCTCAGTTCGCCTCGGAAGCGCCCCTTCGTCGCTCGAGCTCTGCTTCAGCCAATCGGCCGCAAACAGAAAAACGAACTCAGCTCAAGTATCGAATTTTCCCGACACCTCCTGGCGCAAGAGGCGCCAATGTCTCGAGTCAGGCGCTCAGCGGCCAGATCGAAACCAGCCGCACGCAGCAGGATTCGCACACACCCTTTTCCGTATACTGTCGGGAACTTCTGCTTAGCGTGTTACGGCGGCGGCCCCTGCGATACGGTATAAAGCTCGCGATGTCGAGACTCTCACAACTTCGGTACTCGCTTGGTGCTCGGAATTGTTGATGGTGGTCGAGGCCAACCGTTCCTTGGAACATCATAGCGCTAAACAAGATTTCTGTATGTGTTACCCCCCTCTTGTCCGACCAGACTGAATGGGGGAGGGGCCCCGAGTGGCTAAAGCTGGCAAGCAGGTATGCTGTCGAGTCAGGCAACCAGCGGCCGGGCCGAAGCCAGCTGCACATGCGGCAGAACTCGCGCGCCCCCCTCCCGTTTCGCTGCGTATCCCCCCGTTCTCGTCCTACGAAGCCGTCTTTCTTCTCGCCATCGCTCGGACTGTCATTCCCCGTGCACTGTTCGGCCTCGTGCGCGTATGTTTCCACAGCGGAAGTCAAGATATGCTCCTCGGCGACCCTCGCCGAGAAACAATGCACACGCACGAGCGATGTCAAGTCTTCAGGCTCTGGCGAGTTTACTTGCACGAAGGGGTACGGGGGGAGGCCTGGCGAGGCCCTGAACGAACTCTGGACTTTATGCACATCGAGACTCACCTGCACGCCGTCTCGGCCCAGCACTGTTTCATGAGGCGGTGGAGGTGGGGGGAGGAGGGGAGGGGCAAAATCCCGTGCAGGTTGACTTGCTTGACAACAATGACGAAAGCATCCTCTTCTGCCCCCCCCCTCTCTCCGTCCTCGTCCCCTCCGCCCTCGTCCCCTGCGTGTGATCTGGCTGAAGGGCGCGGGAGGGGCCACCGCTGCCTCGACAAGGGGCCCCCATCCGAGGCTCGGCGCCTGCGTGGGCTCCAGCGCGGCAGCCTCATGGGCCGGCGGAGCGGCCTCCCTGAGGCGGAGGGGCAACGTCAGGGGGGCGTGCCGCCCAGGGAGGGGCGCACACCGACCCGGAACCACCTTCGCCACATCGCCCATCGACCCCGGTATACCTGGCGAGTTCCAGAGACCCCGAACCAAACGATGGTGGCATCTCTTGCAAGGCCGACATCTGCTCCCGCCGGCATCCGCCCAGGTGTGGGCGCGGTACGCCGCGAGAGACCCAGAACCGAAAGGAGCTGGCGTCTCTTGCAAAAGCCCACTTCTGCTCCCGCCGGCATCCGCCGAGGTGTGGGCGGTGATAGGCCGCGAGAGACCCCGAACCGAAAGGAGCTGGCACCTCTTGCTTGGAAGGCCGACTGCTGCTCCCGCCGGCATCCGCCGAGGTGTGGGCGGCGATAGGCCGCGAGAGGACCCCGAACTGGAAGGAGCTGGCACCTCTTGCTCGGAAGGCCGACTGCTGCTGCCGCCGGCATCCGCCGATGAAGGGGCCCACAAACATACAAATAAATACACAAATCCCAGGGTTCCCAATATTTTCGCACATTTTCTGGGTTTCTGTCTCCCCCCCCCCCACTGCCCATATTTGCACATATTTCCCCGGGAATCGACGATTCATTGTGTCTGTGGCTGCGAGGGGCCGGGAGGGGGCGCCCACGATCGTCGAGCGCCGAGCACGGGCCGCGCGGGCGCGGCCGCGTGCCCCCACGCGCCACGCGGAGACTGCTCAGACCACCTCGTGATCCCCATCCTCATTCGCGTGGCCTGGGCCCCTCTGGCCAGCCGGCTTACCCCCCCCCGGATGGGGATGTGGGCAGTTCCTGCCAGATCTCGAAAGGTCTATCCCCACTGGGGGGATGAGATAGTGGGGGTCTGCATGGGGATGGGGATGGGGATGGGAATCGGTCAGGGATCCAGTCGTGAACTCGCCAGGCCCATCGGTCGTGACGCACATCGGGGAGTCTTTCGCTCCGGCGCTGTGGCCAGAAACGGCGCTCGGGGAGGGCAGTGCGTCGACCTGGGACCTGCGATCCAGGCGTCTATCGGGACGGAGGTGTTTCTTGATTGTTTGCCTTTAGCCCTTTAGGGCCTTTGCTGGGCGTCAAAAAAAGAACCTGGGAAGAGAAACCTGGGGAAAAAGCTAGGACTTCTGGGGACCGCGTATCGGAACAGCTCCGGAAATCGCTTGTCTGGGTGGCGGGTTCCAGAAACCCTGAGACCCAAAAAGATTGCACCTCTTGGAAGGCCGACTCGTGCTTCCGCCGCCTTCCGCCGAGATTCCGCCGGCGGAGCCGCCCCCGTGTTACTCCCGCTAGATTTCCGCCGCCCTTCTGCCGAGAAAGACAAGCTAACTTTACCATTCCTCGAAGGCACTTCTCGAAGGCGGAGTCCTGTCTTGAACGGTCTCTAACGTTCCATATGCCACCGATTCAAGGGCGGGGTGTGGCCATCGGGCCCACATTGGCGACCAATGGGCGACTGAAGGTCGATGTTTTTCCCCCCTGAGCCTGGACATGAAATGTTTAGATTCTTTCTTTTTTATACGCGGCCCCCACATGTCCCGACTATTGCCCCAGTGGCGCTTCTTCATCTCAGGACATTTTTCGAAGGCCCTGGGGCCCAGTGAGGGCCCCAAGATCGCCGACGAACAAACGGCGTACACATGATCTTGCGACGCTCCAAGCGCTGGACTCTGCGCTGGACTCCCCGCCCTGGCGCGCGGAGCGCCCCAAAGGCGGCGCTGGAGAGGGTCCGAGCGCTGATCCGAGAAATCTGGGCGGCGCCCCGAGAACTTATGTTTATGTCGTGTTTGGTTCTTCGACCCGACGCCGAAGCTGCAGGAGCATCTCCGACCTCCGTCCTGTTCCTTCATTACGTTCCATGTCTGGGAGCATGCCTTCGAAGCGCGCCACCTGGTGCTGGGGAGAGGGTGGCACGCACGGCGCGCGACGACGACGCAGCGCTCGCGCGTGGTGGCTCACGCGGGCCACGGGCGTGGCACGCCGCAACGTCGGAGATCGGGCCCCTCGGCCGCCCAGACGACGTGGTGTCCTCCTCCTCCTCCTCCTCCTCCTCCTCCTCCTCCTCCTCCTCCTCCTCCTCTTCCTCCTCCTCCTCCTCCTCCTCCTCCTCCTCCTCCTCCCTCCTACTCCTCCCCCTCCTCCCCATCCACTTCTTCCTCCTCCTACTCCTCCGAGTCCTCCTCTTCCTTCTCCTCCTCCCCCTCCTCCTTCTTCTCCATTTCCTCCTCCCCTCCCTCCTCCTCCTCCTCCTCCTCCCCCTCCTCCTTTCTTCCTCCTCCTCGTCCTCCTCCTCCTCCTCCTCCTCCTCCTCCTCCTCCTCCTAATCCCAAATGCGGCCAACGGCCCCGAGGGCCCCCAATGGTGGCCCGCAGTCCTGGCAGTTTGGTCAGCGATCCTCCGTCCTCCTGTCCTCCCTCCTGAGCCTCCTGTCCTCCTGAGCCCCCTCCCTGACGTTGCCCCCGATGAGGCCGCATGCTGCAGTGGCCGGCGGCGCGGCCGGCGCCGGGGCCACGCGCTCCTGCTGCGCTGCCGCGCCGCCCGCCTCGCCGCTGGCCTCGGCGCCGTCGTGCGCAGGGAGGTCGCACTCCGCGAGGTCGGGCGGCTGGTGGCGCCTGCAGCAGAGGGAGCAACCCAAGTCCTCAATCCTCCTCATCCTCCTCCTCGATCCTGGATCCTCCTCCTCCTCCTCCTCCTCCTCCTCCTCCTCCTCCTCCTTCTCCTCCCCCTCCCTCTCCTCCTTCGTCCCCCTCATTTTTCCTCCTCATTCCTCCTTTCTCCTTCTGATTTCCGCCTCCCTCCTTCCTTCCTCCCCCCTCCTCGATATTCCTCCTGTTCCTCTTTGACGTTGAGCGAACCTAAAGATCGAGCGTGTGGCGTTCGTGATTCAATGGAACAAGATGCCGAGTTAGACAAAGAGCCAACGAAATAAGCCTGGCGGGCGCAGCAGAAAAAAGGAGGGCAGAGAGCAGTCAAAAAGTACAGGGGCCGCAAGGCCAAAGAGTATGCGCCCGCCAAGCAAACGGAGGGGATAAGTTAACATATCACTACCAACATAACCTTAGTCATTACCGCAATACACATTCATAATGCAAATGTGAGGGCGGGCAGCCCTGAGCGACAGCCGCGCTGCTGTGCCGACAGTAGCCCCGAACCCAAGCAGTCATGTCAATACCCACCCCCATCCCACGATTGATAGATCCAGGCATGCAGCACTCAAGATCAACACATGCAGCACAGGCGACGCAAGGGAAAAGTTTCGAATCCATACATTCCAATGTAAGGCCATGTGCTGAATAGACGCATGCGAAGTAGAATGCAGCAACCAACTACAGCTGCTGATTTTGCGGCTCCACGGGGGAAACCCCATTCACCGTATCAATTCCTGGGGGGGGTCCCCGTCACTGTGGCCAGTGTGGTTCTTATCCCCCCTTAGTTGGAATGCCGCTGCAGGGTGAGGGGTGAGGGCAGGTAGATCTATAAGGCGAAGGAGGTGGTGCTGAGTGGGCGGTCTTAAACTGAAGCTGTTGAGGCTGACTTGTGCAGAGAAATAATGACTTGACTACGGGTGGCCTGCATTGTCGTGCCAGGAGGGCTGTCGCAACTGTCGAGGCTGGCCGACGCGTAGTTGCAATGAATAAATCTTGGCCTAAGAACACGAGGCTGGCGAACGGTTGGCCAGGCTCCTCAACGCATGCAGAGCGCAAACTGTTCAAGGACCTCTACCCCCCCATAGGTCCGTCCCCTCCACCACCATAAGCACATACAATGGCGAGCATGGCATGCTGGCAAAGACGACACGTCGGCTGGTGATCTTCTTGTTAGCCTCTATCTGTTCTGGCACGTGAGGTGGCAACTTGAATCTTGCAGGTCGCCTAAGGCGCGCAGTGCGAATGGGATGCCCTATGTAAGCAGGCTAACAGCTGCTGATAGATGTAGAAGGGCCACGCCCTAAAGTAGGCGAGCCTGACATGAGGCGGCGCGCAACTTCGGCCTGCTGCGATCAATTGCCAGCCCCCCCAGAAACCGCGCCCCCTCCCCAACCATCCTATTACAACGCATCTGGCGATCCAAGCTAGTAAACAATAGCGCGCTGGTGGCGAGCGGGAGGGAAGTGTAGCAAGCCAGCTGATGACTAAGAGTAAACATGTCGATTGACTACAATGGGACTCGTCTGGTAGATTGCCCCCCTACCGACCGTGCCAAACCGGCAGCAATCGCAAACCCTACCCACATTGCTTGCTGCAAAAAAAACACCAAACAGGGCATAAGAGGCGACGTAGGACAGCAGAGAGCATTGCCTTAAAAGAGATAGCGGGCGACGGTGATCGATAAGAGCCGCCTGCGCGAGTTTCCCCGCCACCATCGCATCCCCCCTACCCAACCATTCCCATCGAACTTGCCCCTGGGGCAGCAGAGCAAACTGTCGGAGGCTGGACGTAAAGGCCCGAGCGTATCGAAAAGCTTGGACGGGTCAGCCGTGCTGGACTTCGCTTGCTGCTCGTCAGCACGCAGCGGCGACGGGAGAGAAAAGGGAAGGGGGGGGGGCAGGGGAAGCATCGCGCCGAAGGAGGCGATCGCCAAATTCCCGTGCATCCGCAAGCTGGCACACAGGAGCTCGGCGCACACCAGCCATCAGCGAGGCACGGCCCTCGAGGGGGGAGGAGGAGAGGCCGACGGCCGCCGTGAGGAGCGCGAAGGGCGAGAAAAGTGGGAGAGAGGAGGCGGCCGAGAGGGCGGACGCAAGCACGGTAGCAGGAGGAGCCGTGACACGAACGTGGGGACGGGACTGGGCAAGAGGAAATGGCAAACAGAAGTCTTCCGGCCATGCGGTAAGCAATGTTCTGAAAACCGTAGTTGTGGAAATGAGTGGGGTCGTCGGCCCCGCCGTGCTACCGTCGTAATGCTGCCAGAATATTTGACCACAACATCGCTGTGGCAACGTGTTGTAAGAGCAGCTGTACCGCCCAGCATCACTCCGTATCTGGTCCCTTTTGCCATCCTCAGTAGTCGCTTCTGTCAGCTTGTGCGGTGGGGAACGTTGGTTTCGATGTTGGTGGCGCTTTGTCCTTAGGCGCTAGGAACTTGGGCTTGGGCATGGTCATAGCGGTAGTTATCTCCTGCCGTTGTCGTAGCTCGTAGTTCTGCATTGCGTTGGTTGCGCTGTCGTACTGTGCTAGAGGTTGTTAGTATTATGCTGGTGAAGGCGTAGCGTTTCCATCTACTGCAAGCGTGTCTGACCGGTGGCGTCGTCGACGTAATGATTTTCGGAGTGATCTGTATAAATAGGCACTGGAGTGGAGCTTGTTTGTCCGCCTTGAAAATGGAGCGGTGGCAAGGAATTTGTGGTGCTAGCTCTGATGCTAATATTTCGGTCAGCCAGAGCGGTGCCCGCGCAGCCTTGGGGGACGGGCAGAAAATTAGGATCCTGATAAACGTGGATTGCACTGGAAGATGCCGAGCGCATTGGCTTGCGCAGGTGTGGTGGCTGCTGAGTGGCGTATATGGTTGCCCGGGCGATGGCTGCTAGCCCCACTTTTGCGTTGTCTAGCAGGTACATGTCGATATCGGTGTGAATGCTGCGCGCGACGCTGCTGTCGCATCATCCGCGTATGCTCTGCTTGCGGTCGTCGCGCGCGAGCGCGACATCTGTCCGTGCCGAGTCGGCCCTGGCGGTCTGCATTGAGCAGTCTGGTAGGGGGGGGGTGACAAGGTGGATCGCGCGGGCAGCGGCTGGCTGCGCGGCGAGGGAGCTGCCAGCGCGGCTGGGTGCAATACAATATCGGCGGGGACCCCCTGCAATACTGCGCCCCTGTTTGCATCGTGGAGAAGGGGGAGAATATGCATTGCAATGTCTTGTCGGGGACGGTGATGCGCACCACGCGGAGAGGCGGTCGGGAGGGGCGCGTCTCCTGCGCTGCTACATGGGTGATTCGCGTGCACGCCTCATCTGTCCACTTTGCGGGCCAGGCATGGGGTTCCGCATGCTACTAGCGCTGACCGCCTGGTTCCGCGCAAATGAAAGTTGCCCGGTGAAACTGTTGCTGGCCACTGGCGTTAAATCGGCTGTTTGTGCTCTGGCACTGGCGACCTCGCGTTGGTCGCTGGCGCTGCGTCTGCATCGACGCCGCTCTCAGTCACGGCAAATGCAGGCTGCGGTGCACGCCCAGGCGGTCAGCGAGATGCCTGAGGCCGATCGCTGCGGCCCGATCATGTTGTGGCTGTCCGCCATGTTGCCAATGGTTACACTTCAGCAAATTCTCGGAGCACCCGCTTTGTTCCGCAGTCTCTTGTTGACGCGGTGTCGTCACGCATTACGGAGCGCCGCCCATCGGCGGCGAGTGCGTAGTCGCCGCTCATCTGCTCTGTGGCGCGCGTGGCTGTGGCGCGCTTGCTGAGTGGATCTCTGTCGGTGTGACTGCGGGTGTTTGCCGTCGTGGTGCTCTGGGTGGGTCGTGTTTTTCTCGGTATTATTAATGCCTCTGGTGGTGAGAGTCGACATGTAGTGTATTTGGCGTGGTGTATTTGGCGTGGTGTATTTGGCGCGCCAGTAATGCGCAGCATTCGAATGCGCGCGCAAGTGCGCGTCGCGGTGATGTCGCCCTTCTCGTCGTGGATGTCGCCGACACCATCGCCTGCGATGCTTTCGGATTCGTCATGTAAGCGGTTGACTTCGTTTTCCACGTCTTCCACGGGTGCCCGATGAAACCGTCGAAGTTGCAACTCATATGTCCCCTCTTCTTCAATGCGTGTTTCGCACTCAATGTCGCGGTCAACGCGCGTCGCTCCCTCGGCGTCGCGGTCGAGGCCAGGCACTGGCTGGCCATGTCCTGAACGGAGGTGCGTTGCTTGCGTTCGATCTCGCCTTCTGCTGGGCGTATTGGCGTATTGCCGCGTGTGTCTGGCAATTCTCGTGCTGCCGTGCCTGTATAGCGTCGTCTGTTGGTGCTGAACGCATGCTTCTGTGCCTGGCTGGTTTGCTATGCAATGATAAGACGCTGCTGGTAGTGCTGGCGGGCGGCCTGAAGCTGCTCTGGTGCACTTCCAATTCTAGGATGTGCTGCTTCTTGACCATTGCATCTGTCGAATCAAGCGCTCTCGGCTTGTCGTGGTGGTTGCGCCGTGTGGATTGGCGCCGTGTGGATTGCGTCTTGTGGTGGGGCGTCTTCATGGTCAAGTCCAGCTTGTGTTTGTGCTCGTTGTGCTACGCGTGCTGCGCGCTGCTCCTCGTGGCTATGATGCTGCTGTGCGACCCACCTGGATTGTAGAGATTCGTGTGATCGGTCTTGCTCTAATCCCACCAGCCCTTTGGGCGTGAGTGGTTTAGAGAGCCCGCTCTGTTCTCAACCCCCTTCTTCCCCTTCGGGGAGGGGTTTACCCCTCCCCCTACCCCCTCCCCCTGGGCCTGGAGAGGGCGTTCCGCGGGTCGTCAGGGGGGTCGTTTTCGACTCTGGGGAGGGCTAAAAACCTACACCCCTCACGATGATTCTGGCCCCGACGGGGGGAGGCAGAAAAAATGCTCTCCTCTTCTTTGAAGCCACAACCATTGATTTTACTACGGTTTTGGCCCCATTTTGGCCTTCTGAGGGGGCAGCGCTCATTAAAGCTCCCCTCTTCTTTCAAGGCAACATCATTGATTTTACGAAGGTTTTGGCCCCTATGTTGCCCTTCTGAGGGGGCAGCGCTAATTACAGCTCCCCATCTTCTTTGATCGATTTCCTCCAAGATGGCCCCCAGAAGCGCCCAGGAGGCACCAAGAGGCCCCAAGATGGCCCCAAGAGGCCCCCAGGAGGCCCCCAAGAGGCCTCCAAGAGGCCCCCAAGATGCCCCCAAGAGGCCCCCAAGAGGCCCCAAGAGGCTCCCCCGAGGCACCCAAGACGCTCCTGGAAGCCCCTGGGGCCGCCAAGAGGCCCCCAAGACGCCCCAAACGGCCTCCAAGAGGCTCCCAAGAGGCCCGAAGAGGCTCCCCCAAGGCACCCAAGACGCTCCTAGCAGCCCCTGGGGCCGCCAAGAGGCCCCCAAGACGCCCCAAAAGGGGACGAGGTGCCCGAACGCCTCACGCCACGAGGAGCCCGAACGACTCACACCAGGACGAGGGGCCCGAACGACTCACACCACGAAGAGCCCGAACGACTCACACCAGAAGGAGGGGCCCGAACGACTCACACCAGGACGAGGCGCCCGAACGACTCACACCACGAGGAGCCCGAACGACTCACACCACGACGAGGGCCCCGAACGACTCACACCACGAGGAGCCCGAACGAGTCACACCAGGAGGAGGGGCCCGAACGACTCACACCAGGACGAGGGGCCCGAACAACTCACACCACGAGAAGCCCGAACGACTCACACCAGGACGAAGAGCCCGAACGACTCACACCACGAAGAGCCCGACCGACTCACACCAGGAAGAAGGGCCCGAACGACTCACACCAGGACGAGAAACCCCAAACGACTCAAACCACGAGGAGCGCTTTCTCTCCCTCCTCCTCCGCCTCGTCCTTCTCCCGCTCCCCCCACAAGGAGGATGTACAAGGAGGCGGGAGGAAGGAGTACCAGGGGAGATATGCGGGGGCAAGCGGACACACGCCTGAAAAACACGACTGTCGGCATGCTTCGCAAGAGTTGCTGTTGTGAGATGGGCTGGTGGGGATACGCGAAGCGTAAAGAATTAATGTCTTTGGTTCTGCCATCCGCAATTGTGCTCCAATTCTTCATTGCATCTCCTCTTGTTGGAGTCTGTCGTGCTGGTGGATTTGTTGAATTGAGCTACGCACGCGTTTCTTCACATGTGTTCTTTTACTTTCAGAAAGAAAGACCTGTGAATAGCTGCTGCTTGTTGTTGGCCGTTGGTCCTGTCGTAGATCTTGTGTTTCTCGCATCCCTTGTCGTAACTGTGCGATGATGGCCCCAGACTCGTTGTGTGACTATTGGTTCACACGGTGAGTCGTAGCGATTTGGTCACTGTGTGCTTGTAGGTGCCTGATCTGCACGTGGTTAGTGGAGTGCCTGCTCCGTGAGGCACTCTAGGTGATGGTGTCTTTACTCGTTCTGTTTTGTGGTGTGCTCGGCACCCCGTCGTGCATTCTTCTTCTTGTCGCGTTGCCTTAGCTGTGGCATGCGTAGTTCTGCTTGTCGTAATGCGTAAGTATGCTCTCTTGTCTCGACGTAATCGTTTGACAGGTTTTCGCTTGCTGCTTGTAGTTCTTGTGCGGTCACGTCTGCCGATTGTAAAACATGTTTTTCTCAGGCCTCCTTGTCCGTGTTTTGTTGCGTTGCACATTGTTCTGCAATGGTCCAGTCAATTGCTTGGAGTTTGTCGTGTTCGGCTTTGTGGAGAGCTTTGGCCTTCTGTGTCTCGTCGCCGGCGCCGGAGTTAGATGTGGTCGCTCTGGGTAATACTAATGGTGATCACTCTTGGTTGCAGGTGTTGAGTGGCACGTCTTGTGCTCCTTGTGCACGTGATTGTGGGCTGGGCGCGTGCTGTCTATTGTTGATTCGCTCCTTCTCCAGATTGGCGTAGGTATTGGTCTTGTTTGTCGTCGTGCTTCCGCTGAGTTTGCTTCGAGGCTGCTTCCGACACCTTTATGCAAACTACATAACCTTCTCTGAACTTACAAATGGAATGGAATATTTCAGCTTCTGGTCTTTGGTCCAGTAGTTGTCTCTTAATGTTTGCCAGTCCATGTCGTAGTTGGCCTTCTTCATTGTCCAGCATTCTCCACTGCCAAAATATGTGTGGCGAATTTCCTCTGGTTTGCTATCCTTGGCGTGTTCCATGCTCCCACTTCTAGTTGTGTAGCTCCAGGTTTGCCTTCGTGTAAGACGTCTTTGTGGTAAGCTCCTGGTATGCTGTCGATCAGTGTCTGGGTCTCTCACGTGGTATATACCGTGTGCTCTGGGATGCTGCCGAAGCCAGGTTGCGGGACATAGTCGTTTTTTTGTTGGTGTGGTGAAGTTTGTGTGACCAATCTGGTGTGGCCGTCGATGTTTAAAAGTCTGTGTCACGTTCTTGCTGCTGGTGATATCATGTTGCTGCGTAGGTCGGGTCATGCTGTGCTGGTTGGGCGTCCCGTTATGCCCGGCAGGCTGCCAGGATGGTGCTTCGCGTTTGTTGTTTTGTTGTCGCTGTTGGTGTGTCCTCTTGCTTGTGCCTTTGGCCTGGGGGACTTGTGTGTAGCTGTTCATTGTGTCGGCTGGTTCTCGTGGTGCCCGCTGTGCGCGATGGTGTCGGTTCAGTAGGAGCTGTGCTGCCTGGAGCTACTGGTGTGTAGGTTGGTCGAGTAGGGCTGGCGCTGAGGCTACCCGTAGCACTGTGCGTGCTGCTGCACGCTTTTCCCTCTCCCAGCGGTGCCAGGCATGTTTGAGCGAAGTCGGCGAACTCGTGGTGCTATGGAGGTGCTCATGGCGTGTTCGTGGGCGTTGATGTCGAAGCAGCGGTGGTGTTTGGGCCGCGATGCCGTTTTCAAAGTCGTGAGGTCGGAAACTCACTTGCGGTGCAACGCGGGAGAGAGAAACATGATCAAGATGGGGTGTCATGTACATGAAGAGGGATTATGGGATGTAAGAATAAAAGATGATCTGGGCTGGCCCGATGGGCTGGCGCGTCTGGCCGCGGTAGACTTCTCCCAGGTGTCCAGGGCCCGCGGCTTCCTCCTCCTCCTCCTCCTCCTCCTCCTCCTCCTCCTCCTCCTCCTCCTCCTCCTCCTCCCCCTCCTCCTCCTCCATCCTCCATCCTCCTTCCATCCTCCTTCCTCCTTGCCCCTTCCTCCTCCTCCCTCCTCCTCCGGCTCCTCATCATCATTCTCCTCCTCCTCCTCCTCCTCCTCCTTATCCTCCTTTTACCCTCCTCTTCCTTTCCCTCCTCCTCCTCCCTCCGGAACGAGGTTTAGAGCGGCTCTTGTGCAACAAACATAAGAGGATTGAGGCTTTGGCGACTGCCGGCGACTGCGCGCGCACGAACTTCGGGCCCCAGGGCAATCACAAATCGATCCGGCTGGGAAAATTCTGCAGAAGATGAAGGCTATGGCTCCGTGAGGTCGCACCGTGAGGTCGAGCAGCTGGTAAACCTGCAGAAGAAGGAACCCTCGGGTCGTTCACAAATCACGACGAAAAAACTTTGCGCTATTTTTGGCCGGTCCCGAGGAAGGGGTTCAGACTGTCCAGATTTCTGGTGATCACATGGGTCGGGCGGCTGGTGACACCTGCAGAAGGAAGGAAAGAACGCGTGGGCGCGAACTTTCGTGTCCTGGGGTCCGCGCGGTTTCGGGCCACGGGGCTATCACAGATCGATCCAGGGTCTAGGGGCTCCAATTGCGACTTACCATCCGGAAAACCGCACTTGATATAGCCATGGACCCCAACATTGAAGCACATGTGGACACGCATGGAAAAGGGAAGGCTGTTGCAATAGGAAGGACGGGAATACCCCGGCAACAAGATGGCCGGGTTCCCCCCCGTGGCCAGGGCCAGATCTCTGGTGGACCAGCTTCGCAAGATCGGGGAATAAACGCAAACAGTCGGAGATCCGCGCGGATGTCTTGGATCGGCGCTGAGCCCTTCCCTGGCGCACGCAGCTCGCTGAGGGCGACGCCAGAGGCGCCGCCAGGGGTGGCACTGTGCCGCTCCAAGGCACCTGCGCAAACCTCAATCTTTCTCATGCGGTTTGTTCTCCCTCGAGCTTGTAAGCCCACTCGGGCACGCGGAGGTCGGAGGCGTCCGCCGCGTCTCCCGGGAGGCCGAAGAACTCGCGCAGGGGGCCCAGGAACTGGCCCTGGTCGGTGAGTTTCACCTGGTGGCCAACGTCCTGGGGTATGACGAGCCTGCTCTTGCAGGTCAGCAGCCTCTCCAGCTCTATCGCATGCGCCACTGGAGTCATCTTGTCGTCCGTCCCGTGGAATATCAGGGTCGGCGACCTGATGTGCTGCGCTAGCGCCTCGTTCGGGAAAGTGTCCGTCACGACACGCGCCACGAAGCCGACGTGGTCCCTGAAGAGCTTGCGCGCAGACAGGAATGGCGCAACGAGCACGAGCCCAGCCACCTCTGCCTTCGAGGCCAGGTCGATTGCTGGCTGGTGGCGCGCAAACGGGGGGGGCGCGAGGGGGGCAAAGGTGGCAGGCTTGTGTAGGAAGGCAAGGGGGGGGGGGTCTCAGCTTAGAAGCGCCCCCCCATTCACCGAGAGGCCCTCTTGGAAGCCCATGGGCACTTCTGAGAAGGCCCCTGCCGTTCATAGGACGTCCCCCCCCCGCCAGCTCAGCAGGCCGCCCACCTCGCGCCACACCCCGTGTGCACGCCACCGAGCTGGGCCGACGCCCACGCAGTCACCGAACAGAAGTATCTCGGAGGAGGGCCCGTGGAGACAGCGGCCCTGCCGCCCGGCCCAGATACGCTCAAAGGCGGCACCTGCACCCCCTCCTGGGGTCCATCCCTGCGGCAGGTTCGTGTCGTGACGATCCCGGCGTTGGTTTCTGACACCGCGTGGATCGTTCAACCCTGAACGATCGGCGGCTTTTCGATCGTCCGATCGTTCCACGTAGGCCGATTCTGGGCCACTAGCGGCGCTCACCCTTGAACGTCCGCAGCGGGGTCGCCGCCCGTCGACACGACGCGAACCTATGGTAACCGTTCTCCGAAACGTATCCGGCCGTGGCGACGAGATGCCTGGAGCAGGCCCCGAATCCAGAAGCCTTCTATGTCTTCAAATCTCCAGACCCAGAGCTCCCGACCCATTTCTCGGGAGATCCAATTTGGGCGCTCCCAGCCGAAACCAAGAAATCACAACCGGACTGAACATATCATTAAAGTGAGGGCGCCGATGGATCTTGAACGGTCCCTAGGTGCATGGCTGCAAGTGGGTTCGGCAGTGCGGATTGCCCGGCTCAGCAGTGCGGATTGCCGTTGTTGTGTTTTGTTGGTTTTAACATCGCCACCCCGCGACACACCCGCGCCTCGACCCACCCGCGACCCCGCAGCGCCGCGACCAGCGCCGCGACCCACCCACGGCGCGACCCACCCGCGCCCCCTTACTCTTACCCACAAGCGCGGGGGACTTCGTATTGCCCGAGTTCCAGGAAAGAGGACGGACAGACGCCAGGGAACGGGTTTTCTGAATTCCGAAAATTGGATTTTGAATTCAAGAAGCGGTTATTTCTTGAATAAAAACAATTAATTTTTGAACTCAAAGACTGGATTCTTGCATTCAAAACTGGTTTTTCTCAATGCGAGAATCCAAAAGCCGCTGTCTCGACCAACCGCCCTCCGAGCATCCGCTCCAGCGGCATGCCCAGCACCCGCTGCGAGAAGGCCAGCGCTGCCGCGGCGTGCCTGTTGACCCGCGCCGCCGTGCAAGCGCCGTGCTCGCAGAGGCCGTAGCCGGGGTACTCGACGGCGAGCACGTGGACCTGCATAGAAGACGAGCAAAAACACGTAAACATATACTTTTCGCGCTCCGCGCGGATTTCTTGGATCCGCGCCTGGGCCCCCCTCCCTGGGGCGCGGACCGCGCCAGGGGCTGCGCTGGAGGCGCCGCCGAGGGGGCCCTGGCGCGGATCCAAGAAGTCCGCGCGGAGCGCGAAAAGTGTATGTTTACGTGTGTTTCATTCTTCCACTGCAGTGAGCTCGGGATCGGAGCGGGCTGCACGCAAGAAGTGACCCTGGGTCAGAGTGACCTCTGGTGCACGGCCTCGGGGGGGCCCCACCGGGCCAGCACCAAGCAAGGGTCACCTCGGCGGAGGGTCGCTCCTACGTGTAGCCAGCGGAGGGGGGCGACCAGTCGAGACAAGGCGGCCTTTCCCCAAGCTCTCTGACGGTACAGCCAGATTCGACGGTACAGCCAGACCAAGGACGTAATAACATCCTGCAGCAGCATGAGACCCTCCGCCGGCCAAAACACCCCAAACCATAAGACCACTCGAGGGCACCCTCCCCCGGGATGCCCTCGAAGAACATTAGGGTGCACTGGTGGTTTTCGGGCCATAGCTCGGGTCTTGGGAGGCCGTTCGCGACGATTATGGTACCTCTTGAAAGCTCTTGACGAGACGCAGCTGGCGGAAGGCACCTCGAGGCTGGGAAATCGCCGAGCACCTGCAAAACAATTAGAGAAACTCGAACCTGGCACCGTCGAACCTCCCTCCGAGTCATCACCCCCGGGGATGCCCTCGAAGAACATGCAACAAGCACGAAGAACATGAGGGCACCCTCCCCGCAACGACCCCGATCTGATACCTCGGTCCGACCGTATGGTCTGCTCGATCTGGGCGCCTCGCCCCCACATCGGCATCTTGCGGCCCGCTGCCGGGCCCCCAGGGGCCCCCAGGAGCGGCCCCTCGGCGCAGCACAGCCCCTGGGGCATGCCAGATTGTGTCTGGGCCTGGCGTTCCCCGTGCTTTCCGGCCGCATCCGCGGCGAACACAAACGGGCAGAAAAACTGATCCGCCTCGATTTCAACGCACTTGGACTGGGGGGAGTCCTCGTCCTTTACGGCCGCATCCGCCTAAACGGGTCGAACAATTGACCCGCCTCGACTTGAGCGGAGTTGGACCAGGGGGGGGGGAGCCGCCGTCGTCTCGGCCGGGCCCTCCTCCGAGAGCACGCGGACCTGCAGCGAGCTCTGGAGCTTCTCCACGAAGCTGCAGCACAGGCCGAGGTCGTCCCCGTTCCTGCGCGGTTTCCCCTGGGGCCGTAGGCGACCCGAGGAGGAGGAGGAGGAGGAGGAGGAGGAGGAGGAGGAGGAGGAGGAGGAGGAGGTGGAGGAGGGGGAGGGGGAGGAGGGAGGAGGAGGAGGAGGAGGAGGAGGAGGAGGAGGGAGAGGAGGAGGAGGAGGAGGAGGAGGAGAGGAGGAGGAGGGGAGGAGAGAAGGAGGACAGAGGAGGAGGAGGAGGAGGAGGAGGAGGAGGAGGAGGGAGGAGGAGGAGGAGGAGGAGGAGGAGGAGGAGGAGGAGGAGGAGGAGGAGAGGAGGAGGAGGACAGAGGAGGAGGAGGAGGAGAAGGAGGAGAACGGGTCGCCTAAGCCCTTGTTAGAAACCCTCCACCCGTTCCTGTGAAAGTAGATCACGAGGTACTGCGCCGAGGAGTGCCTCAGGAGCCGGCAGGGGAACGCGTACTCGTCGCTCGAGCCCCCGGGGATCGGGCGGCGCACCCCAGAGAATCTCGCGAGGGGGATCCAGATGAGCTCGTTCTTGAAGCTCCACTCTCCATACGTCGCCATCTCCGGCGGGGCGAACAAGATCCTGTCTGCAATCGTGGCCCTCCCCTCGCTGGAGGACGTGCACCCCATGCCTGCGGCGCAGGAGCCGCGGGCAGCCGCCTGGCCAGCGGGCGGCAGCGCCGCCGGATCTGCCCGGCAAATTGGGCCAACATGACTACGGATAATTATTCTCCCGCTCGCGCGCTAGCGAGCTGTCTCCGTGCGCGGCCGCGGCGTGCGCGCGCGGGGCGGCCCAAAATGGGCAGGCCCGTCCCGCGCGCTCAAGCCGGGGCGCCGCGCGTCAGACGGTGGAGTCCGTCTGGTCGCCGATGTCGGCGAGGCAGCGCCCGTCAGCCTTAGAATGGGAGAGGAGGGAGGGGGGCAGAGAAGCTGCGGAGACAGCAGGAGCTTGCTCACAGAGAATAGAAGAAGCATTCTCCCGCTCGCGCGCTAGCGAGCTGTCTCCGAGCGCGGCCGCGGCGTGCGCGCGCGGGGCGGCCCAAAATGGGCAGGCCCGTCCCGCGCGCTCAAGCCGGGGCGCCGCGCGTCAGACGGTGGAGTCCGTCTGGTCGCCGATGTCGGCGAGGCAGCCATACCCGTGCTCAAGGACCTTGCGAAGTGACAAGGTTTTGGCGGGCGGCCGCAAGCAGGGCAGGCCAAGCGGCGGGGCCGACTTGGAGGAAAGAAGCGACGAGGCGGTCGCTGGCGGTGGCGAAGAACAAGATACGAGCCCGCGCGTGCTCGGGCAGCGCAGCAAGAACTGTCGAGGCGGCGGCGGCTTGCAGGTAGCGCTCGGCACTGGAAGCCTGACGCCAACGCCCACGCCAGAAGACGCGAGGGACGTCTTCCGTAGCGATATAGAAGTCTGTTGCGCCAGAGCCCCGCAGACAAGCGGGCGTCAGGTTGAGCCCCTGACCTGCTTTGGCAAGAGGGACGCCCAGAGCCAAAAGCAGATGATTCCACCGAGTACGGAAGCCGCTCGCACCGAAGGGGGCGAGAGGATCGGTGGAAGCCAACCTTCCAAACACTTGACTCAAAATCTTCACCGTGCCCCGATCGGAGCAGCGAGCATGTTGCGTCGGGTACGTTCTTCTGGTCTTTGGAACAAGAATTGAAAGAAAAGCATCCCCGTCGACTTCGAGACGGTCGCATGGAAGCGACAGGTCACAGCGGCGTGACGCCAGCAGTTCGCCAGGCCTGAGGAACATCGTGAAGCCCATGAGCAGCAGCGCCGCCATCACAGGCCAGTCCCAGGCGAGACAGAGCCCGACCATGGCGCGCAGCAGCGCGCGTGGCAAGGGGGGACGGAGCTTTGGCGGCTCCGCAAGCTTCCATTGTTTCGCTACGTCCCAAGCTTCTGTCAGAAAGGCCTTCCAATGCGGATGGGCGCTTTGGATTCCCAAGATGGCATGGACCAAAATATAATGAGGGAAACCTGCATCATGAAGCCACACGCCGAAGGTCGCGAGGAAACGAGCGAGAAGTATCCCGCTTCGGTAAAGTGTGGCGGGTGGCACGCCAGTGTGTTCTGCTAACCACAGCTCGAAGGCATCAATCGATCTCGAGCGACGGTCGAGATACGCGGAGGTGAGGTGAGAATCGCGCACAAAGGGAGTGCGCGGAGGGCGAGCGGGCGCGGACGGCGCAGCCCGACTAAGCCCTTGGCCTGCGGTCGGCGCCGCGGCTCCCAGAGA